ACGGCTTTTATGCCGTAGCCTTACAGCACTCACACGTTTAACTTGGTGAGCCGGTCAGCCGTAATCGTTAGATATCGGCAATGAACCGCGAGGCCGAAGGCTTTACAAGTTTTGAAGCTGTTTTGTTATGATAACTGCTGTTTAACGCCGCAGGCTCACGACTTTAGCCCATAACTCAGCATTCTTGTTCACTGAAAAGAGACCCCTAGCAGTGGGGCCAGCGGCTTGGACGAGTTTGTTGGAATCACCCTACGACACCCCGGGCTACGGTATGCACACGCACTTCCGCTTGTAAGTCGTTGTGTCGCAGAGTGAAAATATCGTGCTTGCAGTGGTGCAGTAAACACGCCTCTCTAGCTTCTCTACCTCGCCGTGTCGAATGACGGAAGTGGTATATTCTCTGCTAATGCGGACAAAAGATGCAAATTCAAGGAGGATTTTTCGCGGACGACTTGATTGCGAGACGGTCTGTAAGCGATGTAGGCGCATTGAGAGGGCTATGCTTATAGCAGTGTTCGAAAACACACGAGTAGCTTAAGACCGCCTGCAAGGGCTGTGCACTTCGACAGAGCGAGATTTGGATAATCGGCAAACAAAATGAGGCATCTACAGTTCATATTGGAAAGCGCCAACTCCCCTCCCGTGCCTGGCCTCTTTTCCTCGACCTCGCTGCGCACTTGAAAACTCTCTTTTTTCCTTCTCATATGGACTGTGAGTTGTTCGAGTCAGAGAAGTGACATTTGTGAAAACCAGTTTTCGACAAAATGTTTAGTAAATGTCCAATCCTTTTCAGAATTCTCTGTTTTAATCAGTAACTGCGATAGGGATTGGTCACATACCCATCGAACTGACTAACCACTCGCAGTTCTTGATAATCAACAATTTTTCGATGTAAAGACTACCACTGAAAACTGGAGGCTGTTAGAGAAGTCAGTAGGATGCTTGCAGAAGAAGTTCTAAGCTGCGCGCGTTCATAGCTTGCGACCATGAAGAAAGTGAAGAAGTGCCGAAAGTGCGGAAAGTGCGGAATCTGCAGAAATGCCGAATGTGAAGAAAAGCAATAGATATGTATCGATTTGACTTCCGCACTTTCTGCAGATTCCGCACTTTCCGTACTTTCTTCAAATCGATACGTATCTAATGCTTTTCTTCACTTTCTGCAGATTCCGCACTTTCCGCACTTTCCGCACTTTCTGCAGATTCCGCACTTTCCGCACCTTCCGCACTTTCCGCACTTTCCGCAGTTTCTCAAATCGATACATATCGTTACTGTTTTTTCTTCACATTTTGTTGTTCGCATTTCTTAGAATTCCGCAACTTTCCGCACTTTCGGCATTTCTTCACTTTCTTCAAATCGATACGTATCTATTGCTTTTCTTCACTTTCCGCACTTTCCGCACTTTCGGCACTTCTTCACTTTCGGCACTTCTTCACTTTCTTCATGGTCGCAAGCTATGAACGCGGCCTAGGCAATATGGAGATTACGATACCACAAGCTGCATTATCAGTTGTTTTTCACATCCTCTCTCAGGAAGTAAGTCTCACTTCGATGCTAGCCCCTCTATAAAAGCATGGATAAACAGTAAGTCGTTCTTATGTCAAAGCTAACAGCAGGAAACGTTTTGATTTGAGGTGCGACATCATAGTTTCGATAGTAAATTTCAGAATATTCATCAATCGATCACTGCGGATGGATAAGATAAAGTGTGTCGGATTTGATATGGACGCCACCCTTGCAAGTAAGCTTCACTGATACTCGAAATCCGAAAAAACCGAACACTGCGGGAAGCGAAACTATTATCGGTTCCGCGTTGAAGATTAACTTTGCAATGGTTGGAGCAACCAAGTACAGGTGAAGTCTGAGAGACTGGGAACGGAACCGTGCTACGGATCTGCTGGTCTTCAATGCGGGACCGATAATAGTTTCGCTCCCCACAGTGTTAAGGTTTTTCGAATTTGATCATTGCGAGTTGCACATTCAATGTACCAAGTTTGTATTTCACCCTTATTTGAAGAATGCATTTGATAAGTGAAAAGGTGGGACCGGAACGTCACCGGTGGGTAATTAGCGATGAAAGCTGGTAAGAGTTGATAAGGGCTTCAGAGGGAAATTAACCAGGTGCTCAGAGCGGCAGTGGGAACGTGGTCCCAGGAAGTTATACAGCAGGTGCGAGGGAAACGTTATTTCTGGGCGGCCAGGTAGTGAGAAAAACTGGTAAGAGCTAATAAAGGAAGTTAGAGGGAGAGCATCACTGAATTCAAGACGCTCCCCACAGCGATGCTGGATGCAGGATCTGGGGCGGTAGCCCTTCTGACAAGAAGGGACATGAATGAGCTTCTGAGATCCACTTTCTCGCTTCCTTCTCCGCACTCCTTACGACTAAACTACGGCAACTCTCCAAAAGCATCAAAGAGCAGAGTTGGCAGGCTCTCATTCCTCTTTAGAAGCATCCCGAGTCGATCTTTTCCGAATGAGGAGCGATTTGACCGTTTACCTCTCACGTTCCGGCAAAAGTGAAATGGTTATAAATTTCCGCCGATGGGGACTGATAAGGGCCGATAACGAATGTTGTGTGAAAACTGCTTCACCATAACTGCAAAAGCTTTTATTCCATGTTGGAAGGGAACGGTGTTACGATCTCGCCAAACATTCCATTGAAGATGATGTGGACGACCTCATTATGGAAGTGTTTACCAGGAGACTCCCATATCCAACTTGGAGAGCGGCACTTCTGGAATTGCGACTTATCACTGTTAATGGTTCAAGACTAGAAACTCAGTCTTGACTTCCACTCCATTCCGTGAGCCCCAATGCGGAAAATCACCTATAATATCCCTGAAGAAAGTATGGTTTCCCTCGCAGAACTTCTCCAGCTCCATACAGAATGCATCGAGCTCATTCTCGTTGTAGCTTGTTGTTCCGTACGCTACGAGGAATGTCACAGTCGGAGTTGATCTTAATCGCAAACTTCTGATTCGCTTCGTCAGATTCTCCTACGAATCGACGTTCATGGCCAAGTGCGTGTTGACTAGGACACTAACACAGCTAAAGCCTCTGCAGTTGCGGACAGGGAATTGCTCTTCTCCAGTCCCGTGGGCGGCGCCCCGCCCAGTCCGATGCCGTCGTGCTCGGTCATGCTGGCTCTCTTCATCAATATAATATAATAATAAGTACTCAATGTGAGCTTTCGGTTGAAGCGTTCATGGGCTAAAATTAACACTAGTCATCCTGGCCCAGGGCAGCTTGCTTCTCCGTCAACTAGAACTCTTGTAGCCTCTCCCAAGCGGTCTAAACCCGCACTGCCCTGTCTTTCGTTATCTCAGATTAAGAGGAATGAGGCCCGGAGCTGCTACTGTTTATGGCATATGAATAGCTGTTACTGTTTATGGCGTATGGATCACCGCTAGGCTACTACGTGCTATACCCCGTATCAGCCGTTTGAAACTGACGGAATTTATGCCAAGATTAAGAGAGTCGATCCGGGGGTACTCACGCGTTCGGAAACCCATTTCACCCCATATACTGAAAAGCATCTTGCAATAGTCGCTACGATCCAGCTGCCTTCTCTATCGTGAATATTTTAGTATACAATTCTCCGATATCCGAGGAACTGGCGTTCAATCTTTCCACCAAGCGCTTGGTTGACATTGGTTATCCAAAGGGACTTCAGGTATACAAAGTACATGATTCACTTATATGGTCTCTTAGAACTCTGATCTACAGAATCAAATATAAGAAAGATTTTGTGGTGCGTAATGCGTGGTTCGACAAAAGATTTGGGAATCTCCTGAAGACGGACGAGCACTGCAACATTTTGAATGCCTTTCATGGCTTCAAGAAATTAGACAAGTGAGCTCCCGAGCCAAAATATTTTGTCTACCAAACGCCTAGAAGTAGCGCTCCGAACCCTTCACCCATAAACCAGGGCAGACAGAATTCTGTGGAACATCGTTCTAAACAAAAAAGGTAACAAACAAAAGAAAAATTCGCGAACATCATAACGTGTCAGCAACCAATTGCATTTGTTATAGGACACTATTCGAAAGGAATATCTCACCGGCCTGTGAGGTTGCGCTCATACTTTGCGGCAGCGTTCCAGCGTCCGGTAGCGTCAGCGGCTAGGAAAGCACAGATATCGATATAGCGCTAACTAAGTGCAGCAGGTGCTCTACGCAGCATCGCACCCGTCCGCACCTGGGAAGTGTAGGTATCCGCCAGGCCTGCAAGCATTCACAGTCCACCAGGCTCCTGGAGTATAGATATGGGGAAGTGAGAGATTGAGAGAGCAGCAAATAGCTTGATTACGTGTCGGCGCGGCATGTGCAACAGCACTGCACATCTGTTAAAGAACAGAATTATGCAATTTAATGAACAATTGCTACTCTGCACCTCCCAATACTCTCTACTTCCGGCGCTGGTGAACCGCTAATAATGATCGCTTCAGAGACTAGTCGTACCTTAGATTTCCCTTACCCTCAAAGCGCTGGTGAATGCTGGTGAACGCTACTGCTGCACTCTGGTAGACTCTAGATCGATATCTACACTTCCCAGTCACTGTTCTGCCGTCACTGTTACGCTGGCATCGCGCGCGAAAACGCAGCTCGCGCGATAGTCTAGTAATAGGAACCACTTGTTTCCCCCACTTTTCCCCGGAAAAAACCGATTAATGGGGAATTGCAACCGAAGCAAATTAGGTTGACTACTGTATTTACAATCCTCATCATTGCAGACCGGTGGGGCGAGTGAGCCGCGCCGCGTGTGACTCGCTGCCCGCTGTCATCCGCGCGCGATCACAGCCGAGTCACACGCGGCGCGCTCACCGCCCACCGTCTGCAATGATACACCATAACAAATACCCATTCGAATCAAAAACTAATTTTCTTCTCAGAAGGAATCCGCCATATACCCCATATAGCACGTAAACTGAAGAATCTCGGATATTCGTTCTGAATACGGTTTTTAATGTTCCTGAGGCCTTTCTACTCGCTTCTATAGTTGATTACTTTGAAAAAAATGAAACAGTCTACGAGAGGTAAGTTTACACCCTTTTCTCAAAGTTTCTTGAAAATAATCTCATATTGCAAATGCATTGCTGTTGAGATTTCAGGTTACGAATAGGGAAGGATTGCACAGGAAAGATACTCAACAAATTCTACTCTACAGTACAATATTCTACGACTGTAGACATACAATTGACTGGATCCATGTAACGGTGAGACTAGGTGGTGCAGAAGGGGCGGAGTGATCCCGCTTTCGGTTGCTTAGCGCTGCCAATGTTGTTCGGTGAGTGGTGGATTGAGGAAGAAACCAATCAGTGCTGCCGAAGGTTGGCTCATTCTATCCCTCTCGAAACAGTCGTGACTGATTATGACTATACCAGTCCTGTGCAGCTGCCATATATGTAAATATATGTAAATACTGCTCAGCACTCGTACCTATGAGTCAAAATTACGAGGCCATCCATGAGGTTTTGCTAAGGCTTAAATTCTTGTTCAATTCTAGGGCGATTACAAGAAAACCGTCACTAAAAATCTCTCGGATTATATTGCACATGATTCCCGTACGGTACAAATGATGCAAGCCTTATCTAAAAGTGGCAAGAAGCTTTTTCTCTTAACAAACTCACCTTGGTCGTACACCAATGTAAGCTTTTGCGTTTTTTGCCCAGATTTTCGACGCCAGTTGACACACTCCTGTTTGCTATCGATAATAAACCTAGTTGAACTTTTCCTAACGGACTTTCAAAAATTCTAACTGAATGGGAAGATATGCTCCTCTGTAGCTATCTACATTTCTCCGAACTCCTACTTAGACCTTGATGTCACATGTCATGGGCAAAGAATGGCAGCAGTTATTCGATGTTGTAATAGTGGAAGGCAATAAGCCCAAATGGTTCCTGCAGGACATTCCATTCAAGGAGGTAAGAAAGTACTAACAATAAACGTGGCTCTTACGAATGCCTGAAGCTTGCTTTTTCCAAGGTTGATTCCACTACTGGAAGTGAGAGGATAGGGAGCCATAGCGGTCCCTTCAGAAAAGGGGAGCTCTATAGTAGGGGTATGTCTCGAATCTCAAGCAGACAATCTGGGAAATTCGTGTGCTATTATGATTAATTTAGGATGTGCATCCGACTTCAAACAGCGGATGGGATTAGCAGGAAAAGACATCCTCTATGTTGGAGACCACATCTTTGGAGATGTTTTGAAGTAATAATTTGCTGTTACTAATTTCACTGTGTTTATCGCAGCCAATGTCATCTTATTTGTTACTCTTATCAGTTTATTGGGATTGGGGAACAGGATCGTGCCGCTGTTTCCTCATCAAACAACGGCAGCGTTTAGAGTTTGTCGATGATGCGCGTCGACGGGCTTCCATTCTAACGGCGCTGCAGTGCGATAGGCGAGAATGTAGGCCATAGTAAGAAACAGTAAACGCAGCTACACTTTTGGGGATTATAGAAGACAGTCGGATGACCCGCTGTCGCCGGGTGCTCCTTCCTTCTTTATTACGCTGTTGCCGGGCGGTGGCTACCAGGCACATCTTCTTTAGCAGAGGGTAAGTGTGCAAAAACGGCGAGCGTGCAGTTCATTTTCCAGCAAAATGTAGAAAGGATGGTTGGAAATAGCTTGAGCAATGGGTTAAAGTTGGATCAGCGAGTCGAAGCTGAAGTTGAACCGGCGCTATGATATTCGTGTCAGGGTTAGACGCACACGCACGGAAATAGCCGATTATATATGGTAGGATTGTAACCGTTGTCCCAATGTAGCGCTGAAATCTATCCTTTGGTCCACTCTTTTCTCGGAGTTAGTACCAAAAATCTCCATAACCCTCACACGAAAATTCAGCAACCTGTAAGAGCAGCCTGAAGCATCCTACCGCTCAATGCGTTTTCCACTACTGCAGGTTTCTTTTTCTGGAATGCACTCCCGCATTCGGGCAGTCTAACGATTCGAATGGTCCTTTCTCAGATTGTTGATGAAATATAGTCATACAC